CGGTATAATAATTGGGTGACGTATATTTAATGTAGAAAGGGTAAAGTCGCGAGTGGTTAAATTTAAAAGTTCTATTCTGTCACACATTTAACAGTTACAACGCGTATTATAAACCTAAACGTTATCATAATCTGCGTTCGCGCATTTTCAGCATTTCCAAAGCAAAATAATAATTGGGTGGCGTATGTTCAATGTGGAAAAGGTAAAGTTGCGAGCGGATAAATATGAAAGTACTATCCCAAAATTATGCGTTAATAATATGGTGCTAACCTTACCCGAATTTCTTTAAGATTCGTGTTTTCAGTATGAGCGTATGTACAGTATTTTCTAAGAAACATACATTATTGTATTGTATTAATAGCATATGTTGTACGTAATCGCGGCAAGGTAACATGTATGCAGTTACACTTAAAAATATATGGAAACAACAATGTTCAAATGATGTAATTAAGAGATTTTATTTTACTTCAAACACAATACAACCAATAGGACTCGTGGCTCCAGTACAGCTCTAATCTGGCAATTATCTATGCTCTCATTAAAATTTTAACATGTAGAACTACAGAATAAACTTAGCGAGGCTCACAAATCTGTTAAAAATACAACTGCAAGAGTTATAGCAAGTAGTATTACTTTTCATTGTAATTTTCGGCACAGTAATGGCAATCAATATGCATAGCTGTGGACCCTCTCCGCGACCCGGCCCGATACCATGAGATGTCTGGGGCAGTCACGGGGATCCACTCCGTCAAGCAAGCAGCTCTATCATCGCTATGGCAACTAAATGATGCGTCTCAATCAGGAGTTATTATTCGTCGTCCATCCAGCCGCGCTGGCGGATTGCCTGAGATAAAAAAACAAACAGATATAGGTATATCTATTAAACGCATGCACAACACTCGTTAATATCTTGACTTTACACAACTAATTATATGTGCTTACATTGTCGTGTTATAGATTTTAGGCTGCAGTAACGTTACAAAATTTATGAAAGCCACGAAAGATTAATATTGGGGGATCTCGTAATTAATTTGCTAGAATTCGAGTATCTTGTCACTTTGTAAAACGTAGTTTGTATTGTTTTTACTTACGGCAGCAGGACGTATGGAGAATCCCGAGCTACGAGCAGCAACTCTCAGCTTAGCGACGGCTGCTTCTGCATCCTCAGCGCGTGCCTCAGCCTCCTCCAGCTCAGCCTGGGCCTTGCGGTACTTGGCCA